CATTGTATTTTTCTTTATTTATCTCTTTCCTCAACATAAACAACCTTCTCCAATAAGTCAAATATAACATGCAATCGATACAAAGCTATCAGCCGCCTTTTTATTAGTCATACCTTTTATTTTAATTTGTTGCCAGGCGCACTCTTTAAAAAAAAGTAATCTGTGACAAAACTTGCTGGAGGAGCTGGAAGTTTTTACTTTGTTTCATGAAAGGGTAAGGCAGCCACAAAAATAATATACATTTTATAGGTATTTATATAACATCGAAAATGTACGCAGTGCTTTACATACTGCACTTTCGCACCATCACGCGTTATATCTTTTGATGATGTCATCTCATTTAAAGTAATAAGTGTGCCATAATATAAATAGGGAATCCATCATGGATGGTGAGAACCCCTCATAATGGACACATCATGCATATATATCCAGGAATTTAACACAGTGATGGTAGGAACCCCTCATGATGGGCACAGCAGGTGTACAGGCCCGGGAACTCAGCACAGGGATGGTGGGAACCCCTCATGATGGGCACAGCAGGTGTACAGACCCGGGAACTCAGCACAGGGATTTGGGAGCTCCTCATGATGGGCACAGCACATGTGGAGACATAGGAACCCAGCACAGGTGTGGTGGAAAACCCCTTAATAATGCGCACAGCAGCTGTGCAGACCTGGGAACTTGGCACAGGGAAGGTGGAAAATCCTCATTATGGGCACAGCAGCTGTACCGACCTGGGAACTCGATTCAGGGATGGAGGGAACCTCTCATAATGGGCACATCATGCATGCAGATCCAGGAATTTAACACAGGGATGGTAGGAACCCCTCATAATGGGCACAGCAGGTGTACAGACCCAGGAACCCAGTTTAGGGATGGTGGAAAACCCTCATTATGGGCACAACAGGTGTACAGACCTGGGAACTCGATTCAGGGATGGTGGGAACCCCTCCTAATGCGCACAGCAGGTGTGTGGACCTGGGAACTCAGCAGAAAAATATATAAAACCTTTTGTTAAAGTTACCTAAAAGTAATATAAATATATTCATACACACAGCAGCTCACCAGTCTGTAGATGTAGTGGCTGTGTTAGTTTTCTGTTAGAACACTGGCAGGATCAACAAGTATTTTTCTATGCAGGTAAAAAAAAAAAGTTTGTTTTTTCATTTGAATGGCACCCCAAACGAAATTCCCACCCACAGTTTGATTGCCTGCACCGGAAAACGCAGTACCGTAATGCCGTGCGTTCCTTTGCAGTGCGACTTGGGTCGCGACTTAATAACCGAGGACAAATGTGGGTCCTAAGGTTGCACAGGTTGTGAACCACTGGTATAGACAATGGTTGTCAGGCAATAATTGTTTTAGGTCGATCGATATAAATATACATCTACACAGTAGATAAATACACTGTCTTTGCTTGGAGTTGCCCCCACAGCTTGTACAGGAAGCCTCTGTTCAGCAGGTTTACCATCAGATCATATAGAATACTCATTGAATAAACAGATCCTTGGCCAACGATGGCGATTAAAACTGAAAGAGAAAAAAAAAGAAAAGAGAATGGAGACATTTCGGATCTTCACGCCTCGTACCTTCTATGAGATGTAAGAAACCCAACAGAACTTACCGACCAGCAGCAAAGGAACCGGCTTCATGTCAGCTCGGAACTCTGAGAAAGAATTCGATTCAGATAGATATTTAATTACTGTTCAGGTATGATTCACCGAAGGCTGTTTAAATAGATGGGACACGATGGGCGGTTTGTGCTTTTGTATAGATTTATCTATAACAATGTACAATAATATGACATCAGCCTATCATGCAGCCACGTGTGCATAATAGAAAAGTACGCAAATTCTCAGATACTTTGACGCAATCTCCAGTTTTCTCATGGAAGAAAGAAGACGACATTAATTTAAAAAAAGGTTCTTTACTATAGGAAAGGTTAGATTGTAAAATAATTAAATGAATGGCGCATCATTGAAAAGCCATCCATGATCGCCCATTAATTTCCTTTGCCTAAGTAGAGCGGTCACCATAAGTGTGCTGCAGGCAGAAGGAGGGATTTTATTAAGTTGGGTACACACACTTCAAATTCATCAGGAAGCAGCCAACATTCGTACCATGTGTGCCGCTGTCGGCACCCTTCCACCCGGCATCTCTCAATCAGCTGATCAAAGCAGCCAGTTGGAAAATTCTCGGCCGAATGGACCTAGCAATCAATCAGTGGCCACCAGGTGCTGCCAGAATACAATACAATACATACATAATTATTATTATTACATAGTATTTATATAGCGCCAACAGTTTGCGCAGCGCTTTACAATATAAGGAAAACATTACAATCACAATACAATTCAAGACAAGATGGTAACGAGGGCCCTGCCCCTGAGGGCTTACAAACAAATAAAAAGGAGGGGGAAATGTTACATGAGGAGGTAACCCACTTTAGTCTCCTCTCAACCGGTGAGCATCCAGACTGTACAGTAACTTTGTACACAGAACTTCCCATGACCCACCTATGATGTAGCAAAAACCAACAATGGAAATTAAAAAACGTAGTGAATGATTTAATTAGCAGGGCGGCCAACAATGAGCATCAACATGGGGTGGCTTTGTACAACAAGGTCATGGCATAAAAACAAACCGCTCTGGTACCTGAACACATTCCGTTATCAGTCATTCTTTCCACCCAGCAGCAGAGAGCAAAAGAAAGTCTCTAGCATCAGTCAGCTTACATATATGCAGAGGCCTCCTGAGGTGGGGTGAAACCCGGTGCGGGTACCAGGTGACACCCCGTCGTGACGTCATCGCGCATGAGCATGATGATGATGATGTTGCATGCTCTACTGCTGTTACCTGGTAGCAGCCATCTTGGTGATGGAGCCCGGCAGAGAGATGAGGGGACGTTCACCAGGCGGGATAAGGTACAGTATGCCGCCGGTTCCCCTCCTCTCTCCAGCAACTATTCGGGCTCATGGCCTATGACCAAGTGCCCGACTTTACACCAAAATGACTATCAATACTCTAATTTGGGTTGGGGCGGGATCCCCCTTGTGACGCCACTGCGTACATGGAGGACTATGGACAGCTGAGACTAATATTGAGGTCTGGATACCAGGTAAGACATTGACTTAGGAATTAAGAATTCATCCCATCCAGAGCTCTGCAAAGCCCACAGGCTCCAGGATCTAAAACAAGGCTTATTAAGATCTAAAGTTTGTTTCCTCTATAGCAGACAGCAACCTTGGAGCAAAATGGAGCAACTGTATCTGGTATGCACACCTCCTCACCTCCACAACACAGAGGAAAGTGTTCAGTAGTTCACAGAGATAGCTGGGAACAATGTAACTGATAAAAGCAGTGAGGATAGGAAGTTCTCGGTTCATGGTGTCTATGGAGGAGCAACGTTGACATCGTAGAACAGGAAGTGTATTAGGACTACAGAATACCTGGCCTTTCTCCTCACCTCCAAAACATAGGGGAATGCATTCAGCAGTCCACAGAGATAGCTGGGAACAATGTAAGTGATAACATCAGTGAGCACAGGACGTTATCAGCTCCCTGGTTTCTGGCAGAATCAGGGTAGAATAACCAGGGTCGGCCCTATATTGAGGTTGCCTCAGATGCCTCAGACAGAGCCTGCCTTCTCTTTCTGGCCAGAGTTTCACAAGTTGCTAAGAACTGGGTGGGCAGATGTATATGGGCCTTTCCAGTTCCTGGCTACCAGTGACGTCAGTGAGCTGGGTGGGATGCTGGCCAGAGCTGGGCAGTGCACCACTACAACCCCATCAACACCGCCCATCCCACCCCCCCAGAACGTGACCACCAGCACTGGCCACCCTCTGCCCCCGGACCACCAGCCAGATGGCAATTATTCCATGGACACCCCTAAGAATGACCTTATTATGTCTGTGAAGGCTTTTCTTGATCAATATGGTATGGGGTTAGGGTGTTCCTTACACTCATTGGAGCTGAGGAAGCTGCTTGGATGATCGGTGAAACATCTTCAGTACTAAAGAACAAGTTCGGTATTTTTATTTCAATTGCTACCTAGGTGCATCTTAATGGAAGGAAGGGGGACTTTGGAGGGGTAAACCACAGAGCTTAGAGTTGAGCTTCTGGGTATAAACCAATGGCCTCCCAAACGCGAATGACTTTTTTTAGGGAGCGCAGGGAGGGAATGTTGTCCGCTATTCTAAGTACTTCTAACATCTGAAAGATGAAAACTGATTGTAGAGTGAGATTAAACTACCAGTCACACAATACGTAGCATGCTAATGAGAGAGCATAATGACAGAGATGAGCTCATCAGTTCATTTCACTGTCCAGCTACAGGCTGGGGGAGTAGTGTATGCACCTGAATTTGAGCTGGTATCAGACCCTTGTAAGCAGAGCTCAGACCAGGGTATAGGGAAGCAGCACAAGGAGTCAATCAATTGTGTTCCGGTGCAAGGGAAATGCTAATAGAAGGAGACAGCAGAGTGCCAAAGAGATGAGCTCCTTGATGAGCTCCAGTGAGCTGAGATGAGCTCCAGTTTCTTCAGTCACAGGCTGGGGGGGGGGGCAGTAAGAAAAACAAATGACTTCTCATTGGTTGATTTGAATGACATTGATTTATTGTATTTCATTAAAGCAAAGCAAACAATCATGTGAATAGCCCAAATAAACCAGATTTTAGCTTTATTCTGAAGACATTATTGAGAATAATGAAAGTTTCTGAGAGAATCAGTCAGAAAGCAAATGACCTCAGCAGAGGCCCATATACAGGTCCTGGAGGAGGGGTTGGTAAATATACTCAGCTTCTCCACAGGTGAGGTCACAGGAACTAGTATATGACTTGGGAGTCAGGGGCCTCTCCAAAAATAATTCTGCTTTATGACTGATTGCCTTCAAGGTTCCCTTTGACTAAGCTCAATTTAAGGCCTTATTGCACAAGTGAGATTTGATTAAGGTGAAAAATTAAGGTGAATGTGGCCAAGATCCATAAGATACTGCTGTTCTTAGAGACAGGTTTTTTCCGGTTCTTGTTCAGGTTCTTGCTCCGGTTCCTTTTCTGGTTCTTGTTCCGGTTCTTTTTGAACTTTGCACGTGAAGAAGGATCCCAACAACTCGCAGGTGCTGGAGGGAGGGCAGACCTCGGACACACAGGTTACTGTCTTACCCTGGCAAAGGCATTTGGTGCTGCAGGTGGATTCTTTCCAAAATGGTACTCCTTCACTGGCAAACTTTGCTGCAAATGGATAAAGAGCGAGGTCAGTGGCCTTTACTTAAATGTTAAAGTACAATAGGAGTGTGCCCCCCTAACAGTCTATAGTCCTTGCCTTCTCAGATATCAGCTCTGGTATTATATATGTGCTCCTTCCTCTACTGTTGAATACTAGGGCCTAACAAAGCTACTTTAGATGCAGCCTATAGGTCCTTCTCGTATCAGATATCAGCTCTTTCATTTTATATGGGCTCCTTCCTCTACTGTTGACCACCAGGGCCTAACAAAGTTCCTTTAGATTCAGTCTATAAATCCTTCCCTTCTCAGATATCAGCTCTGGTATTATATATGGGCTCCTTCCTCTACTATTTACCACCAGACCCTAAAGTTTCTTTAGACTCAGCCTATAGGTCCTTCCCTTCTCAAATATTGGTTCTAGTATTGTATAAGGGCTCCTTACTCTACTACTAACCACCAGGGAAAATCAAAGTTCCTTTAGATGCTGCCTATAGGTCCTTCTCTTCTCAGATATCAGCTCTGGTATGATTTATGGGCTCCTTCCTCCTTTATTGACCACCAGGGCCTAACAAAGTTCCTTTAAATGCAGCCTATAGCTCCTTCACTTCTCAGATATCAGCTGTGGTATTATATATGGGCTCATTCCTCTACTATTTACCACCATGGCTTAATAAAGCTACTTTAGCTGCATCCAATAGATCCTTGCCTTCTCAGATATCAGCTCTGGTATTAAATATGGACTCCTTCCTCTACTATTGACCAACAGGGCCTAGCAGAGTTTTGTTTAGATGCAGTCTATGGGTCCTTCCCTTTACAGATATTGGCTCTGTTATTTTAACATAACTAGGAGCCTTTCTCTATAATTGACCACCATTGCCATAGCAGCATCCAGACAGTGGCCTGCTGGTCCTACCCATCCCCTTGTCCTGCCCATCCAATAACAACCTCCTTGGCAGCACTCTTTACTGAAGATATTTCCTTTAACTTTCTGACCTAACAGGAAGTGAGGGAAAATCTATACAATGTAGTTCCAAGCTGCAGTTAGAACCTGACAGGGGTATCCTCCCTTCTCCTACTGGTTGCTTCCATAATTTTCTATTTGCAGACCAATGCTGCACGATTTAATTACAAATGAGGGCAGTGTGCGCTCCCTCCAATGACACATCTACATTCAGCGGTAAGTGTGTAATCCGAGATCCTGCTATTTAGTCTATTCAGCCTGGCCTTGTCCTCACTATTCGCTAAATGCGAGTGGTCAATATGAAATATTCTAATGCAATCTGAATAAAAATAACAATTTGACTACAATAAAAAAAAAATCACACATTAAAATAAATTAAAATAAATAAATAAATAAATAAATAATGTCCAAAAATACTATACAGCCGGTCTGCCTCTCTTTCTCTGATTTTATTTGAATACCTTGAAAGATGCAGCCTCCTGGAGCGTCCAAGTGATCTACTTGGAATATCCAGCGTCCGGGGTAGTTCACATTAGATGTTGACGTGATTTTCAGCACCTCGTTGGTTCTGGATCCAGGAATGTTGAAGTAGTTGATCTCATCACCGCTGTTAAATCCGGCCTGGAAAACGATATGCAATAATGGATTGTCATTGGCTCTTGGAGACATTTTCATTGAACTGCAACCAGGCTTATTAGAAAAAAGCAACACTAGTGTGATAGCCCTTGGAAGTCAAATGTCAGCCTGCTGAAGTCCATACACTGTGCATGTTGTCCCTTTTATTGAATAAACCAGGAAATGTTTGCCTCAAATCACAATGAGTGAAGGTGCTTTTGGAATACTATGGGAGTTATAAGATATAGGCAGTATGACAGATTCAATTGCAGGGCATATGGGGGAAAAAAATCAATGTAACGGGGAGAAACCAGTCAAAGCTCTGTAAGGGAGTGAAGTCTGGATTTGCTTTTCTCTTTTACAGGATTGCTCAACTTTATTTTTTTCTGGGGGGTGGCAACAGGATCATTTTACTATTTGCAGTAATGATGTGGGATGAATAACGTTTTGTGAAAATATAGGCCAGCAGAAGCCGTTTACTTTCAGGCTTTCTCACTCTCATTGAGCCTTTGGCGGTCCCCATCTGAAACCAAGGAAGAAGAGTCCCTGCTCTGAATCATTCAATGTTACTTGTGTGTAAATTGTAGCTTGAGCTATTGAGCTTCATGAGCAACATACATTTTTTTAATTGCTTTTATTCTGCTGGAAAACATTGGGAAAGGGAGCCAGACCTCTACCTGTGGGATTCATAGGGTTTACTGAAAATAGAGGACAGCAGAAGTGTCTTACATTCAGATTGAGCCTGTGATCGAGCCTTTGTAGGTTCCCATTTGATACAGCCTCTGTTCTGAATCAATCAGCTGAAATTATTACATTTTGCTTGTGTGTAAATTGTAGCATGAGCTATGTAAACAACTCAATTTATTTTAACAGAGATGCTACCATTAGGCTGGGAAACATTGGAAAGGGAGCCAGAGCTCTACCAGCTGGATGGAAATAACACTACAAGATTTTCAAAGGATATACAGTATTTCTTATTTACTTGGTAACAATGAATATGTTAGCCTTAACCATAACATAGAAAGAATATATTTATACATAAACAACTATACTTTCCCTTCATAATAAATTCTCTTATCGCTGACTATGTATGACTATTTATCAGAATTGGAAATTGTTATGGAATTGGAATTTTTACAATTCTTACTGATATGGTAACTGAAAAGGTGGTACCTGAGCTGGGGTGCCACCCAAACCAGTGTCAGGGTCTCCTTCACTGGCAGTTCCGGTAGTCCACTCGATCTTCTTGTAATTCATGATGACAAAATACTGGTATCCATCACTGGTAAGGACAGCCTGGAATGTGTTTCTCTAGATGACAAGAAAAACAACATAGGTGATATAATTATATTCTACAATGTATTTTTCAATCGTATTTCCATGAAAGAAGCCGTGAAATAATTTTCAGGTCTCAGGGAACCCCTGGTAAACATGAATATATCTACAACTCATGGTACAATAGCATGATCGACGAGTTACAGATATAATAATACAATAAAGAATATGGTATACATAGCATATTTGACACCCAGTGTTGATAGCGTTTTAACACCCTTCCCCCTCACTCTACAGTGACACCATTTTTTTTCAGCAATAAATAATACAACTACTGATAATGAAAAGAACGGTCCTACAAGGAGTAGTAACATCATGTAGTAGTAACATGCGATGAATGAGCACATTGGAATGGGTAACTTGCTGCACTCCTTAACCTGTGAAAGCAGGTGGGGGCTTGCAGCGACCACGGAGGGCACAGTGAACAACTCAAAACCAGCAAAAATGTCACCAGCACACCAATAGGAATTCAGCAAAAGTCCATTTAATGACAAATTGCCATTTAATTACAAGCACTTTCGGGGCCTCAAGGGTACCCCTTCATCAGGCTCAAAATGAGCCCATTGCACCTGAAATGTGTCTGCTTCAGTTTTCTCCTACTGCAACTCAATGAAGCTCTTCTATTTTAGTAATGCTTGTTTTCATATTGACTTACCTTGGTTTTCTGAAGCCTGGAAGAGTATATCATTAACCTATCTGTTGGGTCTCCTCTAATAGTTGGGTCTTCTCTATCAGTTAGGTCTCCTCTAACAGCTTGGTCTCTCTATAGGTTGGGTCTTCTCTGTCTGTTGGGTCTCCTCTATTGGTGGGGTCTTCTCTATTGGTCAGGTCTCCTCTATCAGTCGGGTCTCCTCTATTGATCGAGTTTTCTCTATTGGTTGGGTCTCCAGTATCTGTTGGGTCTTCTCTATCTTTGGGGTCTCTTCTATTGATCGAGTTTTCTCTATTGGTTGGGTCTCCTGTATAAGTTGGATGTTCTCTATCTGTTGGATCACCTCTAACAGTTGCATCTTCTCTATCAGTTGTGTCTTCTCTATCAGTTGGGTCTCCTGTATCAGTTGAGTGTTCTCTATCTGTTGGATCTCCTCTAACAGTTGCGTCTTCTCTATCAGTTGGGTCTTCTCTGTCAGTTGGGTTTCCTCTATCAGTTGGGTCTTCTCTATCGGTTTGGTCTTCTCTATTGGTTAAGTTTCCTCTATCGGTCGGGCCTGCCATTCTTTTGTGAAAAGCTCATAAAAACATCCCTAGTTACTGGATTTTTGTTGCAACACATGATCTTTCAGGCCTGATAAGGCTCATCAGCAATGGTAATCCTTGTCTGCCTTTACCATTTCTATCATATGTGTCTACGGAATTTTCAAAATGCTAAATGTGGTGGTTTTAGCCCAAATATTGTACTATAGAATGTGTAGAGAAAAGTAATAAGATCCTTTGTGTGTGTGTGTGTGTGTGTGTGTGTGTGTGCATCTCATATCAACGCTGAAGCATTGCACAGTTCACATGAAAGCTTCAGATATCGTTTTTGGAGTTCTATCACCCAGTGAAGACTTTTTTTTAATGTGTAGTTGTAGCTGGCATGGAACAAAATATTAACCACTTCAGGGGACACTTACCTTTTTAACAGCTGCCCCATAAAAGACCATTTCATACCAGGTGACAATGTAGGCCCATTTTGCCTTGTAATGAAGGCTTGGGAGATGTTTGGCCATATCGTCTGTGATCCTTTGCAGAATTCGGGGGTCTTTTGTCTCTCTGTGGTGCACGTCTCCTCCCAAATCAATATCGCTATCCCCCCAGAATGGAGCAATAAATTTCTGCCCTTCTGTCAAGGGGAATGCATCAGGTGTGTATTGTGACACTGGGGTGTTAAAGGAGACCAGGCCATTGTTGCACACCTATAAAGAAGTAACATATTCATTAAATGTGTCCAATAGAGAGGAACCTGCATGACATTGTAGGATGGAGAATGCATTGCATATCAGTATTCCAGTAAGGAGGTATACATAGGCCAGCTTTCTGTCTGCACCCACCTTTTCTGGTTGCAAGGAATCCCCAGTGGTTATCTGCCCAATGCTTAAGCTGACTTTTCTGCTCACCCGGTTTTCTCCTTATCAGCTTATTTGAATTCAACACAACAAATATGCTCCCAGTCCATCCCTTGCCTCTCCCAGTCTGGGTTCTACTACACAGGGGATTGCAAGAGGCCACTGCTAAGCCAAATGCAGGTCAAGTCCATTGTGAGATCATTTTAAACAGAGCTGATAGAATCAGCTGCACTTACATATAGACACTTGTAAGATTTCCCAAAGAAATTAAACTCTTCTTGGAGATGTTCTTGCTCGGAGCAGCCATCATCTTCTACTGGGGTAGCCTTGTCTCCCTGTTCTTTTCCAAATGGATAAAGGAGATCGTCTGGAAATAAATTCAAATAAATGAGTCAGTATCATTGACATTCTTTATATAGCATCAATAAAAGCTATAAAACTGAATATTCATTGGGGTTATGAAAAGTGTTTGGTTCACGGCAATGTTGCTTATAGGAATGATTGAAAGTGAGAGCTTTAATTTACAATGCCAGAGAAAATTTGCCAAATTTTTTCACCACTCCCGACAGTCTATAGCTGAAGCCTGTCCTTGCAGTTTAATTTTAAGGTTCTGAGGAAAGGGGTTTAACCTCTGAAACACGTCAACCGGAGGAAGATCAGTGTTTAGATGGCCTTGGCTCAAACACTTATTCTTCTGATTTCTTCACTTGGCTCCCTCGTTTGTCCATCTGGATCCACTTGAGACTGTTTTACTCAATGTTTGTTTTTAACAGTCGTTTGTAAGTATATTTCCAGCTGTATTTTACCTTTATTAAATCGGTTTTACACTACTGAGGCGCTCCGTTTGCTCTGTTTTCCTAGATAACCGGTTTGCCCTGACTGTGAGGAGCTGCCCCTGTGTGTTTGAAGCTGGGTTCGAGAGTTGCCACGGTTTTTTTGGCGCCAGTGATTTTTCATCTACAGTTTAATTTTATATCACAACGTTTATCAGGTATAGCTCCAAAACTCTACCTCAACTTATAAGTCAGGGATGTCCAAACTGCGGCCCTCCAGCTGTGGTGGAACTACGGATCCCATGAGGCATTGCAAGATTCTCACAGCCACAGACATGACTCCCGGAGAGAGATGCTTCATGGGATTTGTAGTTTCACCACAGCTGGAGGGCCGGAGTTTGGACATCCCTGTTATAAGTAAACCCCCTCCCCCAAAAAAATAAAAATATTTAGGACAGGAATGAAAGATATATATAATTGTGTTTCACCCACCATCATCGCCAGGCTGTTTAAATAGAGGGAACACGATGAGTGGTTTGTTATTTTGTATTGGTTTATCTATAACACTGTGCAATAATATGACATCAGCCTATTATGGAGCCAAGTGTGAACAATAGAACAGTACACAAATCCTCAGGGACTTTAAAGCAATCTCCAGTTCTTGCATGGAAAAAAAGAAGACGCCATCGGTTTAGGAAGAGGCTCTAGCCAAACAGGTTATAGCCAAATATAGGCGATGATGTCACCCAGGATGCCGGACCCTGTGTTTACATTACAGCAGTACCAGGGATCTGTCATTTAATAGTGGGAGTGTGGCAGGTAAACATCAGCGGGTCATCGTGTTGGTGGGGAAATATCGTTGGGCAGGACTTCATGATGATTTTGCAGTGATAAGTGAACAACTCATTAGTCAAACCAATTATAAATTATTATTGGTGCAGTGCTCAGCAGATCTATAGTGAATAATCTTATGTAGAGATAACTAAGAACCAATGAATCATCAAGATCAATAACCTGCTTTAGTTATACTTTGTTACACTTGGGTACTAAGATTGTTTAGTTTGCAATTGTTTGTCACTTGTTAGCTACATACTTGACTATTAATCTGTTGGGCGCTGCACCAATATTATTTTATATCACAACATTTATCAGTTATATCACCGCATATATCAGGTATGCCACAGCATATATTGGGTATATCACCGCCTATATCAGGTATGCCACAGCGTATATTGGGTATATCACCGCATATATCAGGTATGCCACAGCGTATATTGGGTATATCACCGCATATATCAGGTATGCCACAGCGTATATTGGGTATATCACCGCATATATCAGGTATGCCACAGCGTATATTGGGTATATCAGCGCCTATATCAGGTATGCCTCAGCATATATTGGGTATATCACCGCATATATTAGGTATGCCACAGCATATATTGGGTATATCACAGTATATATCAGGTAAAAACAAACAAACAAAAAAACATATTTAGGACGGGAATGAAAGAGACCCAAAAATAACTAAAGAATATGATCATATATTAATATTAGGGCTGGTAATGATTAAAATGTTCGTGTTCGATTAATCGAATTTTTTTAAAATCGATTAATCGATTAATTTCGATTAATTATAACGCACATACAGATCCAACTACATTGGCCTATACACATACAGCACAGCAATGAAGTAATAAAATGAACTAGGATCACACTAATCCTGCACGTCATTAATCTCACGTGCCCCACTCAATATGGCCGCCGCTTGAGTGGGGCAACTCAGAATAATAACGTGCTGGATTAGTGTGATCCTAGTTCATTTTATGACTTCATTGCTGTGCTTCTTACCATCATCGCCATATAAAAGCTGGTCCTCTTGGGCGGGCACTACAAGACAATTGAAAGAGATCTGTTGAGTTTGAGGGTAGCTGGGTGACACCTTATACTGTAAGATCGTCTAAAGCAGATTTTATGACAATTATAAAGGATAATTCACAAGTTCAACAATGGCCAGAGGAAGCTGGTATTCCAGTATGCATAAAACGTTGTATGGATTTCCAAGCCTCAGAACTGTTGATCTCCTCAAGCCTCTTTGCCTGTAGATCTCTGCCTCAAACTTTGCTGGCAATTTCTGCCCACAAGCACTCACAAGTTGACTGACCACCATTGATTGCTCTGGTCCGGCTTCCTGATGGTGACAACATGTCTGCACAAAAATCATTGTTGCGGCCACTTGTAGTCTCCTTAAGAAGTGCCTATGACAAGGTGACGAGGCAGGAACCCAACTTGGAGGCAGGGACAGAGTAATACCCCTCCATTTCTTGCACTGACACCTATCAGATAGTCAATAAATGGTGATATTTTTCCGCACTACCTGTTCTCTCTGACACCTTTCAAATAGACAGGAAATGAGGGAATGTCTACCAAATGTGGGCACAGCAATACAAAGTTGACAGGGTTCTATTTCTTCTTTGAGTAGGTCACAAAATGAGTACCCTAATCTGTACTCTATATATAATCCCACCTACCTTGATTCTGTTGGTGCTCTTGGGATGAATCTACAGGAGAAATGGAATATATCGGTTTAGCACTACAGTAACTGGGTGAACTGGGTAATACATTAGTTCCTGGCTGCCCCCCAAACCCTAGAATCTACCTTTTGACTTCTACTAATACATAAACTCTGATGAAGGGGGATCTTTGAATCCCTAAAACATGCAATCAAAAAATGTAGCCAGTGCGTTTCAGAGGTTCAAGGATGTCCACTTCCTCGGGACCTAAAGAATAAGTAGAAGTCAAAAGATGAACAGCTGCCGAGGAGCGTGCCTCATGGCAATACATTAGTTCTTGGCTGCCCCCCAAACCCTAGATTCCACCTATTGACTCATACTCATGCCCAATGAAGGGGGTATCATTAAGTCCCTAAAACATGCAGCCAAAGAATGTAGCCTTTGCATTCAGGGGCTCGAAGTTTCCCACTTCCTCAGGGCTTCAAGCATTAGTAGGAGCCAAAAGGTGGACAGCTGCTGAGGAATGTACCTCATGGTAATACATTCGTTCTTGCTTGGCCCCCAAACCCTAGAATCCACCTTTTGACTTCTACTAATACATAATACCTGACGAAGGGGGATCATTAAGTCTCTGTAATGTACAGCCAAAGAATGTAGACAGTACGTTTCAGGGGGCTCAAGGATGCCCACAGCTTAAAGCATTAGTAAAAGTCAAAAGGTGGACAGCTCTTGAGGAGTGTGCCTCATGGTAATACATTCTTTCTTGGTTGCCACTAACCATAGAGTCAACCTTTTGACTTCTAATCATACTTAAAGCCTGATGAAGGGGATATCCATGAGTCCCTAAAACGTGCCGCCAAAGAATGTAGCCTTTGCATTTAAGGGGTTTAAGGAGGGTCACTTCCTTAGGGCTTATAGCATTAGTAGGAGCCAAAAGATGGACAGCTGGAAAGACACATGCCTCATGGCAATGTATTAAGTCTTGGCTGCCCCCCACACCCTAGAGTCCACCTTTTGACAGTATCCCTGATGCCAGGGGGGTGGGTGTCCTTGAGTCCCTATATGTGTTGGATACTCTATGATAGATGTTTGGATTACCTTAATGAAATAAACATATATTTTTGGATTCTAAGTTTTGGGTGTGGTGCTCCTGCTTTTCCTTTTAATAATAAATTATTCGAGAATCTATTTCTCACTCAATCCCAAACTAGAACAAAAGTTTGGTTGGAGTACTACGTTACAATGTCTCTACCCCACCTTATAGGTAAAGGCCAAAAACATATTTAGGTTGGGAATGAAAGACATACAAAAATAACTAAAGAATATAATATTTACAGTATATATATAAAATTATTTTCCCAGCAGGAAAACAGAAAAGGAAGTCTAAAGCGCTACTACCCTTGCAGGCAGGAAGTGTTCAGGCCTGGGGGGCTTTGTGTGTCATCTCTTGACTTTCAGATGAAGCCCGCTGCTGCGGGAAGAAGGGTACTACAGAAAAAGTGAAAGAGACCTGTTAGGTTTGATGGTAAATAGGTGACACCATATACTGTGAAATAGTACAAAGCAGATTTTATGACAAATACTGTAAACATAATTCACAAGTTTAGCAATGGTCAGAAGGCAGCTGCCATTCCTATATGCAGAAAGAGGTGTATGGATTTCCCAGCCTCAGGGCTGCTGATCTCCTCCATCCCCTTTAGAAGCATTTCCAGCTCACATGCACTTGCTGCAGCGTTGACTGTCCATCATTGCTCTGGGCGGGCTTCCTGATAGTGATACCATGCCTGCACAATAAGCATCAGTGTGGTCACCCGTGGTCTTCACCAGGAAGTCAGTTTTTAAGGATTATATGCTTAGGTTGGTAGTACATTATTATTAATAGTATTATTCTTATTATTATATTACATTTTTGTTTTTAGGTTTTGATTGGTCACTAGTAGCCAATAGGTTCACAATGGTTGCCAGGCAATCATTATTTGATGTCGAAGGATATAATATGCATATCTATAGATGAATACACTGAGGGGGAATTTATCCAAACTGGAGAAAACAGAATCTAATGCAGTTGCCCATAGCAACCAATCAGCATCTCTGTTCAGTTTGCTCAGGTAAGATGTGAAAATGAGACAGAGAAGCTGATTGGCTGCAGTGCAAATCTGCTCCACATTTTGTCTTCTCCAGTTCTGATAAATTCCCCGCCACTGTATTTGCTTGGAGTTGTCCCCACAGCTGGTACAGGTTTACCATCAGATCATATAGAATACTCTTATATGTTACCTGAAAAACCAGATCCATGGCCAACGATGGCGATTAGAACTGAGGAAAAAGAGAAAGAAATAAGAGACATTTCGGGTCTTCACGCCTCGTACCTTCTCTGAGATGTAAGAAACCCAACAGAACTTACCAACGAGCAGCAAAGGTACCGACTTCATGTTGTCAGCTCAACGGAACTCTGAGAAAGAATTAGATTCAGATAGATATTTAGTTACTGCTTCAAAGGCAAATAGATGGGTGGTTTGTGCTTTTGTATTGTCACTAGGGATGCACCGATACCGATACTAGTACCGAGTGCCGAGTACTCGCCCAAATGCTCCGATGCCAAGCCCGATACTTGAGATTCCGGTATCAGGAAGCCAGGCAGCGAGTCATTACACGCTGCCCGGCTTCCTGTTTAGCTGGGAAGCCGTTTCCATGCTCCCTCGTCACTTGGTGGTGAGGGAGCATGGAGCCGGCTTCCCGGCCAATCAAGAAGCCGCGCAGCGTGTAATGACTAGCCGCCTGGCTTCCTGATTGGCCGCCTGTGTACTCGTCTAAATGCTCCCGATACTGATCCCGATACTGGAACTTCTGGTATCAGGAAGCCGTGCAGCGAGTCATTACCCGCCCCCCCGGCTTCCTGATTGGCCAGAAAGCCGGTTTCCTGCTCCCTCGTCACCTGGTGATGAGGGAGCATAGAGCCGGCTTCCTGGCCAATCTGGAAATTATATATATATATATATATATCAAGCATATAGTTATTGGTTATACTATAAAGTACAAAACATACAATCTCATATACTTTAAAGCATTTTAAGCATACAAGAAGATTGAGCATATTTGGGAAGGGGTTGGGTGTGGTTAACTTGGAGAATGAAGAACCGAATCATTGAAATCACTGAAAAGTCATCAGTGATCCCCAATCCCGTTCATTTGCCTAAGCAGAGCTGAAGCCATCAGTCTGCTGCGGGCAGAATGGGGCATTTCCTCGATCTCCCCCGCCCCCCAGTGATCACCCATTGTATCAAGTCATAAGGGGAGAAGCTGCAGCAGGGGCTGATCTGAGTTAGACATTTGCAAGAGCTGCTTTTGAAAGCCCCCCACCGACCCACTTGTCATATTCAAAGGTATAACTACCCAAGCGACATTGTGATCCAGGGAATTGATCCAAATGCATTTGGAAGGTGAGAAGGCATTTTCTTTTCCTCCTGTATGCTAAAGTTGCCCTTATTCTTTTGTTTGGCCTTCTGCTGAACCCAAAATGCCTTTTGTTTTTAACCTTGCTCACTATTAAGCTCCATCAACTGGCACTCCAATATCCAATGGGAATGCCCTTACTGGAAACTGGAGGGAGTCTCATCGGGCAGAGGGAGCTGGTGGAGCTTAGTCATGGAGTCAAGAAAAGTCAGGCTCTAGTAACAAAGTGAAGCCCAATCAGAGAGGGCACACTGGAGATTTCTATGGCTAACCAAGGCATAAGCAGACATTTTTGGGTGTCTACAGTTAAAAATGGAGTACGGGTCCCTTGTACCAGTGCGAGGAAACAAGTCAGGGCCAACGTTCTATTCCTATAGAGGAAAGAGATTTGCTACAAATGTAACTTGTAACAGAGGGTGGGAATCTTTGACTTACCTCCCTGTAGTAGTCAGATACTCCACAGTCACAATTCAGCCAGGTAGAGCAGGATCTTATACACCTCCTAAAAGGGGCGGGGCTTCTAATGTTTAAACAGATCTTAAATATCATTGAGAGTTTATTCATGTGTTAAGTGCTGGGAAGAAAAACAATGATGCATTATAAAAATATTTATGTACGGCTTTTGTATTAAAATGCTTTATTTGGCCTTGGACACTTCAAGGTGCACCTTTATTAAACATTTATTCATGATTTTGTTGTTTTTTTTTGCAGCCGTGGCGCCTCTGCTTATATCTCTGTAACTGATCTTACTTAATCTTGAATTAAGTTTGAACTCCATCCAGATACTGCATACTGTATATCTCTATCTGTCTATCTATCTATCTATCTATCTATCTATCTATCTATCTATCTATCTATCTATCTATCTATCTATCTATCTATCTATCAAAAGACACCATTATTTAAAGATTAACTTTGGACTCCCCCTTTACCATAAACATCTCCCCCTCACCCCATGGAGGCACCCCTGCATGTTTTTTGTTTGCTTAATTTTGTTTTACACAAATCTTCAGGCTGGTCATACGACCAGCGTGGTCCTCAAGTATACAGGACTCCCCTTCGGAGGATGAGTCCATGATACACTGTACTCTCAGTATATCCTCAGTCTTATGTATGAGTGATGCTGTTCGCTTATTCAGCCTGGAAGACTGAGGACATCTTGGGGCAGAAAAGAGGTACTGCAGGGCACAACTCCAGAGAGAAAGTGAGTAGAATAGTATTATATAGTACTATCATATCCTGTGATGCTATTTAATGTAAAACATAAACTCCTGAAGAAGTAATACAGATAGCACAAACATATAAAATGTTTCCAGTGACCAGTACGTGCATTGTTATAGCAAATCATATATTGTACAGCAATAATGAGATACAATGGGAGAAAGATCCCTGCCTGGTAAACATAACCATGGGAAGAGATTTTTTTTGTAAATTAATTTGTTTCCTTAAATCGCTGTAATCTAAAAAAACATAAAGCTACGCAGACACTGATATTCAAACAACCAAATCCCATCACGGTTCTCAAATATTTTATTAGGATTTGCTGCTATAACGAGAGGTTGGTAAACAGCGATTTTAGATGTTAGCTGTCTAAATAATGATTATGAGATTGAAGTGGACGGTTAACATTCTGGCAGTGCGAGGTGATGCCTGTGATCATTTATTCATGGTTAGGTAGCTTTTTCTGTACAATCTATGTACTGTATAGATGTGGATGGGATCAGCTTACAATCTATCTATCTATCTATCTATCTATCTATCTATCTATCTATCTATCTATCTATCTATCTATCTATCTATCTCCATATCTATCTATCTATAAATCATTTTTATAGATTTATTTATTTATAGACCAACTGTTTTTTAAATGTGCCTCTGGAGATTTAAAGTGAAAAAAACAACACCTGTGGCTGCAATACTTTAAATAATAATATTAATAATATTAATAAAATAAAATAATAATAATAACAACAAAAATATGAATATAATAATAATAATAATGATACAAATCTGTTGCTGCAGTCCAGAGCTAACCCCTGCAGTACCTGTTCTCTGCCACTAGATGGCCTCAGTCTTCTAGGTTGACGGCCAACTTCATTCAACCTTGAAAGCTGAGGACAGACCGAGAGTACGGAGCATCATGACACCACCCCCTGAAGAGAGTGACACCATGGTCCCTGCACTCACAGTTTATTGATACATAAGGCGACACCGATGTCATCACGTCAGCACCATGCTTTGTATCTTCCAGGACTTCCCTCCGCCGGGAGGAGAGCAAAGAGGACCCACCATGTCACCTGTCAGTCCAGAAAACATCAGAAAAACATTGGGGGGAATTCATCAAAACTGGAGCAGACAGAATCTGGATCAGTTACTGATTGGTTACCATGGGCAACTGTTCCAGATTCTGATCAATTCCCCTCATTATGTATAAAATAAAAAAGCATTCCATACTACTGTGTGTCCGAAAGGAGGAGTGTGAGCCCTTTAGGGAGGAGTCCCCTGGGGGCATTTGAGAAAAGCACGTAAAAAATAAAAAAGCATACCAGACAGCTAGGGGTCCTAAAGCAGGAGAGTGGACCCTTAGGGCAGGGGTCCTCCTGGAGGAACGCATGGATTCAAAAGTTGGATCTTATTTCCTGTTTAAACAATACATTCCATACTCTGTGCCCCTGATGGGGCGGGCATGCCTTTTATACAATACATTCCATACTCTGTGCCCCTGATGGGGGGGGCATGCCTTTTATACAATACATTCCATACTCGGTGCCCCTGATGGGGTGGCATGCCTTTTATACAATACATTCCATACTCGGTGCCCCTGATGGGGTGGCATGCCTTTTAAACAATACATTTCATACTCGGTGCCCCTGATGGGGGGGCATGCCTTTTATACAATACATTTCATACTCGGTGCCTCTGATGGGCGAGCATGCCTTTTATGCAATACATTTCATACTCGGTGCCCCTGATGGGGGGCATGCCTTTTATACAATACATTCCATACTCGGTGCCTCTGATGGGCGAGCATGCCTTTTATACAATACATTTCATACTCGGTGCCTCTGATGGGCGAGCATGCCTTTTATACAATACATTTCATACTCGGTGCCTCTGATGGGCGAGCATGCCTTTTATACAATACATTTCATACTCGGTGCCTCTGATGGGCGAGCATGCCTTTTATACAATACATTTCATACTCGGTGCCTCTGATGGGCGAGCATGCCTTTTATACAATACATTTCATACTCGGTGCCTCTGATGGGCGAGCATGCCTTTTATACAATACATTTCATACTCGGTGCCTCTGATGGGCGAGCATGCCTTTTATACAATACATTTCATACTCGGTGCCTCTGATGGGCGAGCATGCCTTTTATACAATACATTTCATACTCGGTGCCTCTGATGGGCGAGCATGCCTTTTATACAATACATTTCATACTCGGTGCCTCTGATGGGCGAGCATGCCTTTTATACAATACATTTCATACTCGGTGCCTCTGATGGGCGAGCATGCCTTTTATACAATACATTTCATACTCGGTGCCTCTGATGGGCGAGCATGCCTTTTATACAATACATTTCATACTCGGTGCCTCTGATGGGCGAGCATGCCTTTTATACAATACATTTCATACTCGGTGCCTCTGATGGGCGAGCATGCCTTTTATACAATACATTTCATACTCGGTGCCTCTGATGGGCGAGCATGCCTTTTATACAATACATTTCATACTCGGTGCCTCTGATGGGCGAGCATGCCTTTTATACAATACATTTCATACTCGGTGCCTCTGATGGGCGAGCATGCCTTTTATACAATACATTTCATACTCGGTGCCTCTGATGGGCGAGCATGCCTTTTATACAATACATTTCATACTCGGTGCCTCTGATGGGCGAGCATGCCTTTTATACAATACATTTCATACTCGGTGCCTCTGATGGGCGAGCATGCCTTTTATACAATACA